CCCCAAAACCCCAAAACCCCAAAACCCCAAAACCCCAAAACCCCTTATTGACTAATTATTGCTGAATCTTTATATTTCATATTTCTCAGACAACTTCTGTTGCATTTCTTGAGGAAGAGCTCAATAAAATTGAACCCAACTTTCCCCTGAGTTATCTTTAAAGCTCTGGAGAATTATTTTGAAGGTGCGCTGGAGATCTTCAGGTGCGTCTGGGTACTCATAGATAGCTTCACAGATGAAGTCAAATGTTTCGATGATTGCTTTAGGGTTATTTTTAATTATTTCTCAGATCCCAGTGAAGCTTTGGTACTTTTCGACATTTGCTGGCAAATACCTCATTCAGATACACCATGGTTTGATGAAACTTTGGAGGTACTCTGTAGACGATTTTGGATCTACCAGCCCAAGCTTTCCGAGGGTAAAGCAACAATGTTTAGCGAGCCCCTTGTCCAAAGTCTTGTTGTTAAGAATAATGTTTAGCTCTTTGTAAACTGGGCTAAGGGAGATTTTGATATCAGCCTTTATTTTCAGTGCAATATTTCCTATTGTTAGACAAGCGTTGTTAGCAATGGAGGTGAGCTCTCTTTTGTTTCCAGGATTCTCGTTATACAGCATCAGAGAGTCTCATAGAGATTTCAGAATTGATTCAATATATGGTTCAAGAATTTCGTTCGGTAAATATCTATTGGTTAAACCATTTTAATACTTATGACTGAAGTTGATGTGGGAAAAGCAATTTTGCTTGTAGCTGATCCTGCTTGAGTCAAATTTTCCAAAACTTGTAGTTATGTTTCCTGAAGAGTTAATCTCTGTCTGGCCTGAATTTTGATTTAAGCAATTAAGTGATAGGATCTTAGTCAATATGCTGAAGTAATCACTTTCTGCAATTGAAGAGACTAAATTTTAACTATATAATCTTACTATTCTCCCAATTTTTGAAAACTTCAGTGAGAAGGGGGAATGCTTCTATTGCAAAATTTACATCATATTCTTGAGTATTTCCCTCAATTGTGAGACAATTAGTAACCTGAGAAATTATTTTGAGACATTTCTGGATGATGTCTACAAAGGCTGTGTCTAGCATATTGCCAAAGACTTTGACAACCTCCTTTACTCATTTGAGAACTGGAATTAAAATCTTATCATTTTCAGAAAGCTCGTTAAGTTTTGTAATTAGGGGAGTTATTATCAACTCCATTGCTTGAGGATCTCTTAGCTGCTCTGCAAATATTTCAACAAAGAGACCCACAACATCAAGCAAAGCCATGAGTCATCTCCCAGAGTAGGTTGATCAAATTTGGGAATAAGTCATTGCTATGATTCCAATACTAGGAGCCAGCTTTTCTCCAGCGTATTCGAGGATGTCACTGAGAGAGCAGCAAGCTGATTCTCAGAGTTCTGGGTCTGAATCCTTCATTAATACACAAAGTTTCTCTACATATACTGTCATTTCCTCTTCTGCAGTATTGTTACTGATCCAGTCTGAAAATTTTGAGAGTGTCCAAGTGGTTGAGATTTTTATCTTTGAGTGCTCAGATGATAAGAAGTTGAATAATAAAGGTACAAGAGTTGAAAGATGCTGCTCTAGTTGGACTGTTGGTCCATTCTCTTCACAAATCGCCCCTAAGATTACAATAGAAGCTTCTCTCCCCTCCTGATCATCATCGTTCTGAAGATATTGCTCAAGAGAAGGCTTGATGCTTTCGAAAATAGTATCTGGAGAAACAGTCGCTAGCTTTTCAAAAGCGAATGCTGAGGCTCTTCTGAGTGTAGATAGGCCTTGTAGTTGGCTATATTCCTCTTCATCAACATCATCTTCTTGGTCTTCATAGTAATTCTCATCGTAAACATTAGCATCTTCGTTATTGAATGGCAAAGAGGCAATTCTGTCTGCCTCTGCAAATCTTCAGCATTCTAGAAGAATTGGAGAGAGTATTGGAAGGACTTTCTCAATAAGTTCGATTCTCTTTTTGTCATCTTCATCATTCTCCATCCTGTTAATAGCAAGTCCTGACCAAAACTCAGCTGAAGCGAGGGCGACTTCTTGGTCTTTAAGTTTGAGGCACTCAAGCATTACCTCGAAGAGAGATTCATAATGGCTCAGAGCCAATTCCATTCTGAAATCAAGAATATTTGTGAGACCTTGAACTGCTCTAGTTCGAAGCTTGGTTGAATCCTCTTGGATTATGTCAAGTAAGATTTTCAGATACCCCTCAGTATTCCTGTAAACCACATCTGTGTTCATGATAATCATCATATTTATAGTGTGGATAACTATACTTCTGATATTGTCATCCTTGGCTGGCTGCTGCATCAGAATTGATGAAAGAGCAGGAAGAAGCATCTCTAGATCCTCTGCATATTTCGGTTCTTCAAATGCTTTACTAGAGTCTTCAATGATAAATCAAATTGCTTTAGCAGCGGAATAGATGCTAGAATCATTATCACTACTGAGCTTAGTAGTAAGGAACTCGATAATGTCAGGCCAAATATTTAGACCGCCTCTGAATAAGATGAGGGAGATAGCGTTTCCTGCTGTCTCGCATATGACCTTTTCATCGCTTTCGTATGCTTTTATGATCATTCCTTTACAATACTCGATCATTTCAGGACTAATCTGTGAAAAATAAGCATCGAGTTGAGACTTCAAAGCGAGTCCTGCTTTTTGTCTAATCAGGGTGTCTTGATCAGTTCCTTCTCCGAATATTAAGGCTATAAGAGACATCAGTCTTGGACACGATTTTGGGAAACTTACCTAAATATCAACAAAATTCAAGGCTCTCAGACAGCTCATTAAGCCTTTGCTGTTTCTGTCTTTGTTCTTCGAGAGTGCCTATTTCAGGACTCAATAAATCCAAAATCTGAGTTAATGAGTCATGATCGGCTTGAAATTGAGGACTTGGGTCCATTTTAGTTAATTTATTAGAAACATTACTAAATTGGGGTTTTGGGGTTTTGGGGTTTTGGGGTTTTGGGGTTTTGGGG